AAATCGGCGAAATTAACGCGACTCCGTAGTAAAATACTCCCTGATTTACTGCCGGTCACCCTGATTTACTGCCGGTCACCCTGATTTGAGATATGCAGGAGTCCGTGCGACTCCCTGAAAATTCTGCTATACTAACTAGTTCGCTCCAGAGCGCGGCCTCGCGGAATTACCGTATTTTTTCAGCAAGTGTTCCAAGAAAATTTGGCAGATGTGCACCGCAAATGTCCTGCAATGTCCAAACGTGTAGTCAACAGCGGGTGGTACAGATAGCCAGCGTACCGCACTTGCAAATAGTGTGGACTATGTACGTGCATTACATGCGTTATAGCCAGCAGCGGTGTTGATTGATGTATGGACCCGATTGTTTCTGTCTGCTATGTATGTGGCACGAACTGATGTGTGTGTGGAGCATGTTTATGACTGCATAGGGGTGACGGGCGCCCGGTAGAGGAGCTCTGCATATAAGTCGACAAAATGACGACTTACGTGTATGTCGTCATTTTCGTAAGTCGGCACAAATATGCTGGTCCCAAGTGGCGACTTATGCGATTTTTACTGTACTAGTTTTACTGCATGCGCAGGTATATGCACATGCACTGTATGTACATCACAATACCAACCTCCTCAGGCAGCCAATTGCGTCCAATCGACTTCAGATCGGTGTTAAGAGCAACAGCAATGATGTTACTGTTGCTGGTATTGCTACCAGCTTCTGCCTCACATAGCTGCATGCCCTCAGGGGTGAGATGCCAGCCCTGCCTGGCCAACTGCTCTATTCTGCTATCCGACATGTTCACTCTGAATACAAGAAAAAGATCTTAGCTTCTGAGCTTACGTGGTATATACTACCGAGACGAGAGCGTAGTACTAGTAGTAGTAGTAGTTGTAGTACTAGTAAAACTCTATTGTACGAGACTGACTCTGAGTCTAGAGAATGATCAAAACTATCCCCGAGATTGCCGGCGGTAGCTACTTTGTACTTTGCGAAACATGGCCATTGACATTGTGACTGACACCGATTTACAGTCATACAAATAAAGGAAGCACCCAAGTGAATACAATAATAAAATATATAATGCACAGCATTACAAATACTAGAATCTTTGACTGTCTGAGTAATACCTCAGGAATGCACTTACTAACTCTTCCAGAGTGTTGACCTATGACGTTGACCTCATGAACTGTGATGCTCGTGTATTTCACCGCAACTATAATCCGGCTACCCGTTGTATATACAGTTTAATTTATTGGCCTGGTGAATAAGCACACGCAACAACCGATTCCGTGCTGCGACGTATAGTGCCCACTATTTGCCAAGCCGACCTAGCTCAACTGACTCGAACCGTAAGTCGTTAGGACTATATATTTGCAGGGTAGATTTTGCACGTGGCCCCCCACCGTCCCACCAAATTTCATCTCTAACCCTTTTTTGTAGCCAAAGTTAGTTTTTACCCTATGCTTAGGTACCGAGAAAATTCAAAAGGCTCTATCTGCCGAACGGTAGCGCCTTTTTACTTCTGGTTTCGATTTTCACACACACACACATACACACACACACACGCCCACACACACACACACACGCCCACACACACGCCCACACACACACACACACGNATGTTTCTTAGTATTTTTAAAAATTCGGGAAAGTTTCAAAAAAGGGGTAGGGTTTCAGGTTACGGTGATGGAGTTAGGGGTAGGATTTCAGGTAGCGCCCAGACGGCCGCATGGTTACCAAATGTCTGGCCCCGTGGCTACATAGACGGCCCCGTCTGGCCCCGTGGCTACATAGACGGCCCCGGGCTACCAAAAATCTGGCCTCGGCTACACTCAGGCGGCCGCGTGGCTACACTCTCATGGCCGCGTGGCTACACGGGGCCGGCAGATGGTTAAATCAGACGGCCGCGGTTGAGATTTTGGTGGCTTTGCCTACAAGTACACATAGCGTGTGCAAGACGGGGTGGGCTTCAGCAAAAATCCTAATAAATCCTAAATGCGACGGAATTTACAATATTTGCACAATTTAGGGTCAGGAAAAAACCCA